GCAACTAGTAATGCCATCTCTTGTTGATGTCACATGCCGTCTGCAGAAAGACGTTTCTGTCGCAGCTAGTGCCCTCACTAGAGTGTCTGTTGTTGTTCCTAGTGTTCCAGATGGTGATAACATCCTAGTTGACAGTGATTCTTGCAAAGTAAAAGGTCTATTTGTTGAACCTCCTTACATGTTGTAAGAGATAGTAAGATCCATTTCTTCCTAGCTAACACTTCTGGTCACAGTGTTCCGTACTTTCTGTTATATTATACGTACTACCAGCCAACGTGAGTATTCTTACCCCATCCACGTTATCGAAACCCACATGACACACTAACACCCAGGATGTGACCCACACCAGTCCACTAACACCCAGGATGTGACCCACACCAGTCCACTAACACCCAGGATGTGACCCACACCAGTTCACTAACACCTAGGATGTGACCCACACCAGTCCACTAACACCCAGGATGACCCACACCAGTCCACTAATACCCAGGATGTGACCCACGCCAGTCTACTAACACCCAGGATGCCACCCACACCAGTCCACTAACACCCAGGATGTGATCCACACCAGTCCACTAACACCCAGGATGTGATCCACACCGTCCACTAACTTGCAGGATGTGACCCACACCAGTCCACTAACATCCAGGATGCGACCCACACCAATCCCCAACCTATGGCCCGGGAAATGGATGCAGCCCTCACGTGAAATTATGACTACACTCTTATGTAGGTTCCACACTACACAGTGTCGAAAAATCATGCGACTCTCATGACACATTTGACCATCAACTGTGTCTCCATATTATTTCTGTATGAATCTCGTACCATCCTGTAATTTCTACATTGAATTCTCCACATAATATTCACACCACACATTGCCTTCGTACATGACATCACTGCATCCAGTGTCCTCCTTGATGGAATTTTTAAAACCCATGCTTCACACTCATATAAGGTAGACTATAAATCCCATTAACCAACCAGCCAGCCTTAATGACCGTTGTGTAGGCAACTTTAAATCCCATTAACCAACCAGCCAGCCTTAATGACCGTTGTGTAGGTGACTTTAAATCCCATTAACCAACCAGCCAGCCTTAATGACCGATGTGTAGGCGACTTTAAATCCCATTAACAAACCAGCCAGCCTTAATGACCGTTGTGTAGGTGACTTTAAATCCCATTAACCAACCAGCCAGCCTTAATGACCGATGTGTAGGCGACTTTAAATCCCATTAACCAACCAGCCAGCCTTAATGACCGATGTGTAGGCAACTTTAAATCCCATTAACCAACCAGCCAGCCTTAATGACTGTTGTGTAGGCGACTTTAAATCCCATTAACCAACCAACCAGCCCTAAAACCCTCGTGTGATACTTAGACTGGTTGGTTAGTTAATGGGATTTAAAGTCTATCTACTACACGAGGGTCATTAACCCTTTCAGGGTCAGTACCCCTACTCTCAAACTTGCTCTCGGGGTCACAAAATTAAAAAAAAAAAGATTAGCTCTCATGAAATGGTAGAGAATCTTTTTCTGAGGGGAATAAAAAAAAATTTCATGGAAAACTGACGATATGCTTTCACAGCGATATTGATGCAGCGGCGATTTCCTCCATTTTGAGTCTGATTTTAAACCAATTACAATGCTCCAGTTGACCAAATTCTTAGCTATTTCAGTAGTATGTCTTCCATTTTATTGATTGAGCACAAGAAATCATCCAATCAACTATTACAACTACCCAATAGTGATCAGAAATTGGTAATTTGGCAATTTCTCACAAATTTCAAAATAGGGTCCGGAATAAACAATGCAGACATTCCTGGCACTAAAATAGCATTTCCTCTGTTCATTAGTCATGTTTCCAGACTTTACATGTGAATTCAATAGATTGTATTTAAAACTGTAATTAATGTACTTGCTGTAACTCATCATCCAAATAATGTGTTATTGCCTTGCTAATCTTAAGTTAATATTAAGTTTGCCCAAAATACTCTGCATACAAAGGGGCTTTTGGCATGTACATCCAATTATTATATTCTTTTGTACAATTATGTAGCATGTCCAAATAAAATTTATTATTATTATTATTACAGCCTCTCCTCACTTAGCGTTGTACTCGTTTACTGACGCCTCGGACTTACGACGGGCTCTCTGACCAACATTAATACATAAATAATGTATATTAGAGCTGATTTCCTGTATTGTTTATTTCAGTATACAGTACACTAATGTATAAACATTTAAAAATACAGTGGTACCTCGGGATACGAACTTAATTCGCTCCAGAAGGCTGTTCAAGTGCCGATACCAAATGAATTTGTTCCAATAAGGAATAATGTAAATTAGATTAATCCGTTTGAAACCCACAAAAATACACTTACATAATTGTTCGAGTTTTGAGCTGTTCGTATCCCGAGGTACCACTATACCAGAAATGTTATAAATGGTACAAAGGTGACATTAAAACAATATCAAAGATGGTTGACACAAACCCACTACCATTATAGTATGCTCCTCACTTAGTGACAAATTTGCTTAACGATGCGGTCTTAGGAACAGAACTCCATCGTTAAGTGAGGAGAGACTGTATTAAATCCCATTACCCAACCAACCAGTATTTATCCCCCGTGTATAGAAATTATACAAAATAAAATTTTAAAGTTTATGAAAGATTCTACAGCAATATTAACAATTAAAGGATTTAAGAAACTTTGAATATTAATCAACATAATCAAGAAGTCTTGCATTATATATATATAATAAATTAAATATATATCTCAAAATTTTTAAATTCTATTTAAAGTCAAAAAGTTTTTAATCTGCTGATAAAAATAAATCCTGCCAGATATAACAACAGTTAGCAAAAATATCCAATAACAACACAGCTGCCATGATGCTGAAGGGCTCTTGATCTGAGGAACTGGAGCTATGGTCTCCTCCCTCAAGACCTGATAATCCCACAGTATGAACCTTGTGGGTTTAGTGTTCAGCCAGTACGTTGGAAAAAATAAACCTTGCAGGTTTAATGCTCGGCTGGACATTGGGAGTTCAACAATTACTTCACGGGGAAACCCTTCTTCTGCGCCACAACGTACTGCTTGCGGGCGTCCATGTGGTCGGCGGGACGGTTATATGGCGTCCAGATGGGCTCCCCAACAAACAGCCTCATTGCCTTGATGTAGTTCTGGAAATGTATAAACACAGTGGTGCCTTGAGTTGCAATGGTCTTGGATTACGATTGTATTAATGTCGGTAGAATTACCGACTATGTTGAGTAAAAGAACACAAGTGCAACTAATGCGACAGTTTGTTGTGACAATGTTTCACTCTCCAGGAGCTTTGTCAAGCCATTATAACATACCTTCTGTGTCCATGTACTGTTTGTAATGGCTTGATAAAGCTCCTGGAGAGCGAAACATTGCCACAATAAAATGTCTCATTAGTTGCACTTGTGTCCTTTTACTTAACATTGAGTTATGATGGTAGTAAGCGCTGGTTTTCAGAGTTGTTGATGTTAGACAAAAGGACACAAGGGCAACTAATGTGTCATTTCATTGTGTCAACGTTTCGCTCTCCAGGAGCTTCTGGAGAATGAACTGTTGCCATAATCAAATGTCACATTACTTGCAATTGTGTCCTTTTACCTAACATTATTATTATTATTATTATTATTATTATTATTATTATTATCACACTGGCCGATTCCCACCAAGGCAGGGTGGCCCGAAAAAGAAAAACTTTCACCATCATTCACTCCATCACTGTCTTGCCAGAAGGGTGCTTTACACTACAGTTTTTAAACTGCAACATTAACACCCCTCCTAACATATTGCCAGTAATTCTACCAACATTAATAAAGAGACGTCGATACGTGGAACAATCTGCCAAGTAGGGTAAGAGAAACTAAGACCTTGGGTAGCTTTGAAAAGAGAGTGGACAAATATACGAGTGAAAAAGTGTGGGCTTGATTAATGCCTGAGGTAGTGAAGCAAATTCTTGGGTAGCTTAGGGAAAAGGCTGGACAAATATGTGGGTGGGAGTGGTTGGGCCTGTCCTGTTATGGTCCAAAAGACCTGCTGCAGTGCTCCTCCATTCTTACGTTAACCAGAGCTACTGAAGGGGTAGTAGTAATATTAAATGATTAACTATGGAAGGTAAAGAGGGAGTACAGATATTTAATTCCATAAATTATGTGGATTAGAATAAGAGTGGGGTATAGCAAAATTTTTATGCACTTGGGTAAGAGAGGGGTGTATGTACAGAGAGAAATTTTGGGAAATGCTTACAGAGATTTGAACCAAGTGAGAAAATAATTGCTGTGGGGGACCTGAAAGCTAGTGGGAAAAACTGTTGTAATGGGTGTACTGGCAAGCCCCACTTATACAGCAGGTTAGGTTCCTGGATGCTGCTGCAAAGTGAAACAGCCCTTTTTCCACTTTTAAATGCATATAAAATCCTGATAACATGTTCACACTGTCATATATTAAGTGTGCAATAAAGCTAGGCCTATAAAATGCATATACAGTACACATTATTTACCTTAAAATATCTTCATCCTTAGCTTATGGTGATAGGCAAAATATATTTATTGTACACAAATAACCCACACATAAAAGAGAGAAGCTTACGACGACGTTTCGGTCTGACTTGGACCATTTACAAAGTCACACTGTGTGACTTTGTAAATGGTCCAAGTCGGACCGAAACGTCGTCGTAAGCTTCTCTCTTTTATGTGCGGGTTATTTGTGTATCGTTCCAGTCACGGTATTGTGCCTTTTTGTTATTTATATTTATTGTAGGCAGTCTGGATAAATGAAGGATGGGTATAACTGTAAACCACTGCATTAGAGAATGCTACTACAGGACCTCCTGTAGAAGGTAAGTTGAGAGTGCCCAGAGTAACTGATAATACGAACCTCTAATTGATTTACGTATCGAACAAGGTTTCAACTCGCACCTTGGAGTCGAGAGTGAAGCGATGATAGATGCCTGCAGGAAGGATGAGCAAGTCCCCAGGCACCACCTCGATCCTGATCCACTTGTCTTCCTTGTCACGCACGTCGAAGTAGCCCGAACCTTCCGTTACAAACCTGATCTCCTCGTCTATGTGTATGTGCTCCTCAAAAAAGTTTTTGATCTAAGAAGAAACATAACATAATGTAACTTGTGGTAGCACCAAATAATAATTATACTACTACTACTAATAATAATTATTACACTACTATCAATAATAATCATATTTATACTACTACTACTACTATCAGCAATACTACCATTAGTAATACTACTATTAGAAATGATAATAAAGAAAAATTAACATTAATGAAGAGATTCAAGGGCACCTGCTAGCTGGACTTGAGTGCTGGAGGACTTGAGTCCTAGCTGGACTTGAGTCCTAGCTGGACTTGAGTCCTAGCTGGACTTGAGTCCTAGCCGGACTTGAGTCCTAGCTGGACTTGAGTCCTAGCTGGACTTGAGTCCTCACTCATCCTTCAGAGTGCAGTGCCTGTGCTCTGAAAGATGAGTGAGAATGTTACAGTACTGGAGGTGGGAAGTACAGTACCTGTACTCTGAAGGATGAGTGAGAATGTTACAGTACTGGAGGTGGGAAGTACAGTACCTGTACTCTGAAGGATGAGTGAGAATGTTACAGTACTGGAGGTGGGAAGTACAGTACCTGTACTCTGAAGCATGAGTGAGAATGTTATGGTACTGGAGGTGGGAAGTACAGTATCTGTACTCTGAAGCATGAGTGAGAATGTTACAGTTTTGGAGGTGGGAAGTACAGTACCTGTACTCTGAAGCATGAGTGAGAATGTTACAGTACTGGAGGTGGGAAGTACAGTATCTGTACTCTGAAGCATAAGTGAAAATGTTACAGTTCTGGAGGTGGGAAGTACAGTATCTGTACTCTGAAGGATGAGTGAGGATGTTACAGTTCTGGAGGTGGGAAGTACAGTACCTGTACTCTGAAGGATGAGTGAGAATGTTACAGTACTGGAGGTGGAAAGTACAGTACCTGTACTCTGAAGGATAAGTGAGAATGTTACAGTACTGGAGGTGGGAAGTACAGTACCTGTACTCTGAAGGATGAGTGAGAATGTTACAGTACTGGAGGTGGAAAGTACAGTACCTGTACTCTGAAGGATAAGTGAGGATGTTACAGTTTGTAGGTTAATCTGAACAATGATATCAGTACACTTCTGGCAAGACAGTGACTGAACAGTAGCAAATAACTTACTCATCATAAGGTCACCCTACCCTCATGGGGGATGGCTGACATGTTAAAATAACAGTGCAAATAAAACCATCCTCAGAACACTTTGCTATTTTACACCAGTGTGGCCACAGTTCGAGCCACCCTCCAAACTGCAACAAGTGCATCATTCCTCCAGCACCAACCTTCTCCTCGTAATTATGGAGCTTGTCAGGCGAGATCTGGATGACGTCCATGTATGTGTAACCTCGTTCCGTCTTGATCTCCGCTAGCTTTCCCTCGGACTCATAATTTTTGGCGTCAAGCTGAGGTTGAAAACATTTCTTTTTCATTCTTCTAAATATTTTTGAAAGGAAAAATAAATACATGGAATAAATAAGAGATAACATTATTATTATTTTTTCTAACACATCGGCTGTTTCACAGGGGAGGGTGACCCAAAAAAGAAGAAACACTTTCATCATCACTCACTCCATCACTGTCTTGAGAGAGGTGTGTCAATACTACAATTTAAAAGCTGTAACATTATTCTTAATATATTATTGTTATTACTATAGGTAGTAGGTTGGTAGACAGCAACCACCCAGGGAAGTACTACCGTCCTGCCAGATGACTGTGAAACAGAAACCTGTAACTGTTTTGCATGATGGTAGGATTGCTGGTTTCTTTTTCTGTCTCATAAACACGCTAGATAACAGGGATATCTTGCTACTCCTACTTACACTTTGGTTACACTTCACAGACACGCACATGCATATATATATACATACATCTAGGTTTTTCTCCCTTTTCTAAATAGCTCTTGTTCTTTATTTCTTCTATTGTCCATGGGGAAGTGGAAAAGAATCTTTCCTCCGTAAGCCATGCGTGTCGTATGAGGCGACTAAAATGCCGGGAGCAATGGGCTAGTAACCCCTTCTCCTGTAGACATTTACTAAAAAAGAGAAAAAGAAAAACTTTATAAAACTGGGATGCTTAAATGTGCGTGGATGTAGTGCGGATGACAAGAAACAGATGACTGCTGATGTTATGAATGAAAAGAAGTTGGATGTCCTGGCCCTAAGCAAAACAAAGCTGAAGGGGGTAGGGGAGTTTCAGTGGGGGGAAATAAATGGGATTAAATCTGGAGTATCTGAGAGAGTTAGAGCAAAGGAAGGGGTAGCAGTAATGTTGAATGATCAGTTATGGAAGGAGAAAAGAAAATATGAATGTGTAAATTCAAGAATTATGTGGATTAAAGTAAAGGTTGGATGCGAAAAGTGGGTCATAATAAGCGTGTATGCACCTGGAGAAGAGAGGAATGTAGAGGAGAGAGAGAGATTTTGGGAGATGTTAAGTGAATGTATAGGAGCCTTTGAACCAAGTGAGAGAGTAATTGTGGTAGGGGACCTGAATGCTAAAGTAGGAGAAACTTTTAGAGAGGGTGTGGTAGGTAAGTTTGGGTGCCAGGTGTAAATGATAATGGGAGCCCTTTGATTGAACTTTGTATAGAAAGGGGTTTAGTTATAGGTAATACATATTTTAAGAAAAAGAGGATAAATAAGTATACAAGATATGATGTAGGGCGAAATGAGAGTAGTTTGTTGGATTATGTATTGGTAGATAAAAGACTGTTAAGTAGACTTCAGGATGTACATGTTTATAGAGGGGCCACAGATATATCAGATCACTTTCTAGTTGTGGCTACACTGAGAGTAAAAGGTAGATTGGATACAAGGAGAATAGAAGCATCAGGGAAGAGAGAGGTGAAGGTTTATAAACTAAAAGAGGAGGCAGTTAGGGTAAGATATAAACAGCTATTGGAGGATAGATGGGCTAATGAGAGCATAGGCAGTGGGGTCGAAGAGGTATGGGGTAGTTTTAAAAATGTAATGTTAGAGTGTTCAGTAGAAGTTTGTGGTTACAGGAAAGTGGGTGCGGGAGGGAAGAGGAGCGATTGGTGGAATGATGATGTAAAGAGAGTAGTAAGGGAGAAAAAGTTAGCATATGAGAAGTTTTTACAAAGTAGAAGTGATGCAAGGAGGGAAGAGTATATGGAGAAAAAGAGAGAGGTTAAGAGAGTGGTAAAGCAATGTAAAAAGAGAGCAAATGAGAGAGTGGGTGAGATGTTATCAACAAATTTTGTTGAAAAAAAGAAAAAGTTTTGGAGTGAGATTAACAAGTTAAGAAAGCCTAGAGAACAAATGGATTTGTCAGTTAAAAATAGGAGAGGAGAGTTATTAAATGGAGAGTTAGAGGTATTGGGAAGATGGAAGGAATATTTTGAGCAATTGTTAAATGTTGATGAAGATAGGGAAGCTGTGATTTCGTGTATAGGACAAGGAGGAATAACATCTTGTAGGAGTGAGGAAGAGCCAGTTGTGAGTGTGGGGGAAGTTCGTGAGGCAGTAGGTAAAATGAAAGGGGGTAAGGCAGCCGGGATTGATGGGATAAAGATAGAAATGTTAAAAGCACGTGGGGATACAGTTTTGGAGTGGTTGGTGCAATTATTTAATAAATGTATGGAAGAGGGTAAGGTACCTAGGGATTGGCAGAGAGCATGCATAGTTCCTTTGTATAAAGGCAAAGGGATAAAAGAGAGTGCAAAAATTATAGGGGGATAAGTCTGTTGAGTATACCTGGTAAAGTGTATGGTAGAGTTATTATTGAAAGAATTAAGAGTAAGACGGAGAATAGGATAGCAGATGAACAAGGAGGCTTTAGGAAAGGTAGGGGGTGTGTGGACCAGGTGTTTACAGTGAAACATATAAGTGAACAGTATTTAGATAAGGCTAAAGAGGTCTTTGTGGCATTTATGGATTTGGAAAAGGCGTATGACAGGGTGGATAGGGGGGCAATGTGGCAGATGTTGCAGGTGTATGTTGTAGGAGGTAGGTTACTGAAAGCAGTGAAGAGTTTTTACGAGGATAGTGAGGCTCAAGTTAGAGTATGTAGGAAAGAGGGAAATTATTTCCCAGTAAAAGTAGGCCTTAGACAAGGATGTGTGATATCACCATGGTTGTTTAATATATTTATAGATGGGGTTGTAAGAGAAGTAAATGCGAGGGTCTTGGCAAGAGGTGTGGAGTTAAAAGATAAAGAATCACACAAAGTGGGAGTTGTCACAGCTGCACCTTGAAGGATGAGTGAGGATGTTACAGTTCTGGAGGTGGGAAGTACAGTTCCTGCACCCTGAAGGATGAGTGAGGATGTTACAGTTCTGGAGGTGGGAAGTATAGTACCTGTACTCTGAAGGATAAGTGAGGATATCACCATTCTGGGTGAGTAAGAACTGTGATATTCTTACTCATCCTTCAGAGTACAGGCACTGTATTTCCCACCTCCAGAATGGTGATTATTATTATTATTTTTTTTTATTGGCCACCCTGCCTTGGTGGGAATCGGCCAGTGTGATAATAAAAAAAAATAATAATCACCATTCTGGAGGTAGGAAATACAGTGCCTGTACTCTGAAGGATGAGTGAGAATGTCACAGTTCTGGAGGTGGGAGGTACAGTGCCTGTACTCTGAAGGATGAGTGAGAATGTCACAGTTCTGGAGGTGGGAGGTACAGTGCCTGTACTCTGAAGGATGAGTGAGAATGTCACAGTTCTGGAGGTGGGAGGTACAGTGCCTGTACTCTGAAGGATGAGTGAGAATGTCACAGTTCTGGAGGTGGGAGGTACAGTGCCTGTACTCTGAAGGATGAATGAGAATGTTACAGTTCTGGAGGTGGGAGGTACAGTGCCTGTACTCTGAAGGATGAATGAGAATATTACAGTTCTGGAGGTTTGAGGTGCAGTGCCTGTACTCTGAAGGATGAATGAGAATGTCACAGTTCTAAAGGTGGGAAGTACAGTGCTTGCACTCTGAAAGATGAGTGAGAATGTCACAGTTCTGGAGATGGGAAATACAGTGCCTGTACTCTGAAGGATGAGTGA